ATTCCACATATCGATGTGAATTCTATTGATGATTGATGACAACAAATGGGTAAGAGTACTTAAAGCTCAACATTTTCATGCTAACAATGGACCCAATGACTATATATACTATGATACTTGTTTGTAATGACACACCCACAGAGAATTATCACTGACTCTTCAGTTCTGCTCTGACGTCTTTCAGCTCACTGTTTTGGTTTTCCAGCCCACAGCTTTACTGTTAAGTTCAGTTTCACCACTCTTGTTTTCTTTTGTTTCCAGCTGCAACAAGAAAGAAAGATCTGATAAACCCACTGTACACTACCTGCCCATCGCCAAACAGCAGAAAGACACAGTCAACAACTAGATAGTGAACATAGTGGAGCATTTAGCTGCTAAAGAGCCACTTATTTTCCTCAGGAGTGTGTGGAGACCAAAACAGAGCTAAAAGTAGGAAGAAGCGGAAACACGACTCCAGATGAATGCTAATGTCTGCTGAATGCGTAGAGAGACAACTGTTTGCTACAACAGCTTTATTAGGTGATAATATCAATTTAGCTTTTACAGCTCGTGGCGCTGTTGTTTTGTAAAATAGATGAGCCGGTACCAATCAATACTACTCAGTGACTACTCCATTTACACTAAACAGTGTTAGCTTTGTAATTACACAAACAAGTTCATTTTATATACTGAAAATGAATGTGTAATACATTTTTTTTTTCCATGTTTCTTATCAGGGTCAAATCAGCTGCAGTGAGTAAATGTAGTCTCCTTTAATCCGTGTCGATTAATAGAAAAGTGTTTTTTAATAGGGTATATAAATGATGCATATTAAGTGTCTTGTATTAGTAAATACAGAGTGAAACCCCAGAAAGAGGTCCTTCACCTGTCTTCCCCAAAACATCTTAGCCTGGAAGAGCTGTCAGTGTTTTTCATTAAGACACAACATGTTTCTTGACCCCGTTACTAGGCCGACCACAGTATATGACTTATACCTCTGTCAGGTCTGTTGCAGTTGTAGTTGTTATAGTCCAGTTACATCAAACCGAGGAATTTCAAACTAGTGACAAGCAAAGCAGTGGTGCCTGGCTCAAATGTAGTGTTTGCACTGTGATGTATCCCTGGTTTCACACTGCGTCAGAACCTTCCCTGTTTGCATGCCCCAGTTTTCAGGAAACGGCCAGCATTGCTCTCTTGGTACCTCGCCAGTGTTGCAACACTATCTCGCACAGTGCTGCAACGGCCCTCAGCACAGAATTGACCCAGAATTTAGCTTGTTTTGTCACATTTTTTCCCCCCATTGCTTTGGGAATGCTTGAATAGTGGTATGGGAAGTTCAGTGAGGTGAAATTTTTAGGGGTCATTGAAAGGAAAAACTAACCCATATATAGCAAGTGTTGCTTACCTTTGTAATTTGTTGTTTACGTTTTCTTCAGTGCATACGCAAATTTGCGCTTGATTCTTTAATTATTATTATTATTATTATATTATTATTATTATTTTTTCTATTCAGGGTTTCTGCCAAACTACCTCCTGCCTGACTATGAAGAGGTGGTCAACAGGCCGCCAACTCCTCCCCCTCCCTACAGTGCCTTACACACAGGCCCATCCTCAGTGGCTTCTAGTCCACTGGCTCCTGAGCAGCAGGAGGGACACTGTCCAACCATCCAGCCCACTCCAATGCCCCCGGTCTCTGACAGTCTGTGTTGCAGACCCAGCATAGAGGAACCACAACCCCCCACATTAGACTTTAGGCCAAAGCCTGACAACAAGCCCATGCAGACATCACAGGATTCTGGTGTGATACTGCTGTCAGATGGGCTCAACAGGGAGGGACTTACCAGCCAGGAGAAAAGAAGTGGAAGCGCGGATGACTCCTGTAAGGACCTGTCAGGACTGAAGGACCTGTCGGAGGGCTGCGCTGAGGACAAAGATCGACTCCCCAATGGAAGGAGGAGACGGTTCACAGGGGACTCTGGGATTGAGGTGTGTGTGTGCGGCACACGTGGGAGCAGTGGTTTTAGTGGAGCTGGAGGGACAGGCCAGGAAGGCATGGAGTTGAGGGAGCTGGAGAGCCTGCTGGGGCCCGAGGGAGATGACGGGGGGGAGGAGGAGGAGGAGGAGGAGGAAGAGGAGGCGGGCGACTTCTGTGACAGCTGCGGTCATCGAGCCTCCTTCAGTGTGGAGGAGGAGCAGGCACTGGGTGGGCTGGAGAGGCGGGTCGCACGTGGGCCGTCAGGGCTTCCTCAGCCGGCTCACCAGATAGGCAGCGCCTTGCTCCACCCTCCGGTGTGCCTCCTCCTCCACACCATTAATGAGCAGGAGGGGCCGCACCACAGCACCAGCACTGAACCACAAGGCTGAAAGTTAACACACCTTTGTGTCATAGATGGAAGGAGAGAGCACTTGACACAGAGCATGGAGGCATATGCTGTTGTATCTGAGCAAGTGTTTTATGTCTAAATACTTTCTAAGTGAGTATTTTTATGAATGTGTGCATCTTAGATAAACAGGTGTAGGAGCAGGAAGTGGTATCTCAACTAAAACTGATTGAGATCCAAAGATTGAGCTTGCTCCTCCCCACACTGGAATAGTGGCCTTAACCTGTGTATTTTGGGTCATATTTGGGCAGTACATGCCCTTTTAACAACCTGTGGCAATTGAGAATTCTCACACTGTGCGCACTCACACACACACACACTACACACACACAGCCCTTCAGTCGGTCTTCTCTTGCAGTGGGAAGCTACTGATACACAGTTAAAGACTTGATAGCTGAAGCTGTGATGTCAGGACAGGGCAGTCAGTGCCCATGATGAACACAGCTCTCCTCACCAGGTGCTTGCAACAGTTCTGCAAAGCCGTTCTCTGCAGGCAGGAAACCACGTAGTGAAAAAAAAAAAACCACACATCAGGATCATTTTGAATGAGTGCAATGTGTAGTTGCCACAGTGTGTGCTTATGCAAAGTGATACTGTACAGGGACACTAGAACAAGACTGTGTGGGATGTCCCGTTAGACTTGCGCTTCTAAAGTGCTTATTCAGCAATTAAAAACCGCTCTGCCTTTTGTCCGTTTTTGTTGTTTTCTATCTGCCCTGCTAGTGGTAGAGAAGTATAAGTGCATTAACAAATCTTCATGTGAGCAGTTCCTATTTTGCACAAAATGTATTTATCTTTATAAATGAAGCTTTTAGCTTAAAAAAAATCAAAAAACAAAATGCTTACTTTCATTAATTCAGTCTTAAATTGCAGTACACAATTAGTGTCTTAGGGTTTTGTTGCAACATCTGTAAGAAATGGACCTCTGAATGCAACAGATTCACTTCGTAAACAATCATTTTCTATTATTATTTTAATGAATGTTTGTAGTATGTGCCTACCCCCCCAAAAAGCAGAATTTTGATGAACAATAATAAGCTTCAGTGAAGCTGACCATGAGACCATGAGAAAGCAGGTACCAAAAACAGCGGAGATGGGCAACGTCAGACCTCAAACTTCTGTGTCAGTCACTTCAATAAATCACCACCTTCACCAGCTGTACAGTACAAAAACAGAAACAGTTACACTCTTTGTAATGGCTTTTCATATCAGCACAATCTTACCATGATTTTTTGTGGTATTCATTAATTAAACGTTTATAATAGCTTCCTTAAAGGGCCAATTAAGGCTGATTTTATTCAACTAGACCAGTGTGATTTTCACCATAAGATGGCTTGTAAACTAATGACTCCCAGTGGGTGACCCTGCCAATCTGCTGCTTTTGTGCTATTCAATCTGAGAGAGGAAATACTCCTTTTAGAAACAAAACAGCAACCGTAAAGTATTTTTTAGTCTATGTCTATTGAGTATTCATCCCTTTCTCAACTTAATATGAAGGTAATTAACCCCAAAACAGCCATGCTTGTGGAGCAAACAGCCAGAGTTTACACACAAATGATTTGTAACAGTAGTATTTAACAGACAATTTGTCATTAACAGTTGCAGCCTGTAGTTTTAAGTAGAAAATAATGAACATGCTGTGGGAAACCTTTACAAATAGAGTATAGTAAAATTGTAGTTTGCCCACTCTCAAATGAACTGGAACTGGTTACACTACATGCCATTGTGTCATATTTTTTTCAGACTGAACTTGGAGCACCCTGTAAAATGCGCACATTGCAACGTCTGAAAAGCACAAATGTCTCAGCCTTTGGTCTCACAGATTAATATACGCCCTCTAAAATCCAACAGAAGATGTCTCCCAAAATGTGTAGCACAATTGTAATGGGGATTTCCTGTATTAACGGTAAGATGACAGAATTTTACTCATCAATGCCTCTAAAGTGCTTTATATGTTAATGTTTTTTGTGAGCTAGAAAGTACCGTAATATTATTATGTCATTTTGGTACATGTAGTACCAAGATGAGCTATTTTTCATATCAGCTGAATCCTTAAAAAACAACAAACTATTGGAACTGTATACAATTTCAGAACCACTTTATATTTTTGCGATGTATAATATTCTGTAACAGGTTTGTGAACCAAATAGTTGCTTTCATAATTTTTATAAAATCATTAGCTTTATTGTTATGGACAGATTTTTTTTCTCATTATGGGTATTATTTTTTCTTTTGAGACTTATCCTGAAGGTATGTGAAGGGTACGTTTGACTAACAATACAGTAAATTACTTGTTAACAAGATCAGGGGCCTCTTGCCAAAGACACTTTTTCTTTCTTCACCAGTGGTGTGTAAGGTGGATTTGCACATATTCTTTGAATGTTCTGATCATAAGCCATTTATTACAACCAAGATGGATGTATCTTCAATAAACATGCCCTTTTAAATTCAAGCTGACTCTTTTGTTGTCAAGACTGAGTGAAGTTTCTCTTTTGCGTGGAAAACTATACTTGCCATTCTCAAGATTTAGACTAAAAGGGAGTAAAATATATGTATTTTTTTATTGAGACATGTATATATAAGATATTGTTTGGATTTGATGGATTGTCAGGGTGGAGCTGTAGTTTCGGGCAGTGAGGGACAGGGTGCGCTGTTGAGGCGGAAGTTCAATGTACACCCTAATGTTCATTTTGGTCAAACCACTACTGACCGAAAACTTTCCTCGACGCATTGTGGACACTGTGGGCTAGAAGTCGGCACAATGGCTGAAGACAAGAGGTAAGAACAACCTAGAAACATGCCTCGTATCTCGTCTGTTTTTCATGTAACGTTAACATTATAAATGAAGTGAGTGGTGTCAGATTTGAACCTTCACACATACAGTGAGACGGTTTAACTTTACCTAACGTAGTAATACGCACTTTCGTAATATTACATAGTAATATGACCTAATACGTAATATTACGTACTAAATAACAATGTAAACTTGTGGAATATGAGTTTGTCTTTGCTGTAGTTAGCAGTTAGCTAACGCTAACATGTAAACTGAAGTTGACGTCTGAACTTATTTATTATTCAAGTGCGTCTGCAAAAGGCTTCGTTGATAGCGCCATTCACCTGGATGTAAAGGTAATATATGCATCACCAAGGTACTGTATATGTGAAAATGGTCGCTAGCCTAGCTCAATAGCGTTAATTAGCTAAATGTGCTCCACCGAACAAAGTCTTTATCGTATTAGTAGGTCGACAGTCACTGTTTACCTACCTGCTATCTGATAACAACCTGCTGTATGATAATGAACTATGTGCTCAAACAGGACTATTATGGCAAGGTGCTGAAGAACTCCTCAGACCTGAGGACCAACGCCTGTGTGGCTCCAAGACAGCCCATCCCTGCCTTCATCCGCCAGGCTCTGGAGAAAGTGCACCCTGAAGTCACCGACAGGTCACTAGGCTGTTGTTAGACTCTGTGTTGTTGCTCCAGATGTATTCACACTGATCCACTGATAGATGGGTGTCCTCCTCCCTCAGGTACTATGGCTGTGGTCTGGTGGTGCCAGAGTGCTTGGAAGGCTGCAGGATACTGGACTTGGGCAGTGGAAGTGGGAGAGACTGCTACATGCTGAGTCAGCTAGTGGGCGAGAAGGGCCATGTCACTGGCATTGATATGACTGAGGACCAGGTAGTGTACATCAGCATCATGTGTGGCTACAGTGCACAGTGAACTGTCAATGAACTATGCAGAAGAGTAAACATTTGTGAAGGCTGTCCCTGTGTTGTAAACAACAGCTTATGCATATTTATGTACTGCTTAAGACTCAAATGCAATGTGCACCCACTGGAGAGACTTCATACACGTCTGTGTTCTCTTCAAGCTTGAAGTGGCCAAGACATATGTGGACTATCACATGAAAGAGTTTGGCTACAAGAAGACCAATGTCAGTTTTGTCCAGGGCTACATTGAGGCCCTAACAGATGCGGGTTTGGAAAAGAACTCATTTGACATCATTATGTAAGAAGCCTTCCTTGTCTATCTTTCTCTCTCTCTTTGAATGCTGTGTAATTCTATAACAATTGTGTTGAAATGTTGATTTTCTGCCATAGTTCCAACTGTGTGGTAAATCTATCTCCAGACAAGAAGCGAGTACTGGCCGAAGCTTACAGTGTCCTCAAGGTAAACTACTTTTAACTTGAGCTTTTGGCTCCCCTTCTAATTAAATCTCACAAAACATGACAAGAATGGTTGGACAAAAGGAAAAAACATTATTAGTCTCAGTAGTTTTCATTGATATTCACTGTTGATCTTTAGGATGGTGGTGAACTGTACTTCAGTGATGTCTACAGCAGTGGAAGACTAACAGAGGAAATTAAAAATCACACAGTCCTGTGGGGTGCGTCAAACTCATATCCTACTGCCATAAAAGCTCTCAGACACGTGGCAGAATATGATAATGTAGTTTATCTTGGCAGGTGAGTGTCTTGGTGGAGCGCTCTGGTGGAAGGATCTGTTGCAATTGGCTGAAGAAGTGGGCTTCAGCCCACCACGGCTAGTTACAGCCAGTGTCATCACTGTCAACAACAAAGAACTGCAGGATGTTCTGGGTTTGATACCATTTTTGTTACTAATTTATTTTTTATTTTTTATTGTGCATTGCCTTGTTGGCTTGCTTCTAAACCATAATTCAGGGTGGGTTGTAGTAATGAGCATTCATTTTAAACCAAAGAGAATGATTGTTGTACTTTCCTGACGGGTGCAGTAAAGCTAACAGGAAAGTCAGTCAAGCACAGTTCACACACACACACACACACACACACACACACACACACACACACACACACACAGAGGTCTCATTAATAAGTGAAAACACCTGTGTGGATGGACCATGGTTGTGTAGGGCCTTTAAGGTTTGTACAGGTGACAGTACTGCACTGCTCTTTACTTTGGTCCTATAGAACCATTAATATTAAAATTAATATTCATGACAATGTTGTCTGGTCACCAAAGGCCCACAGGTTTTCTCAAGAGTTTTTATGCTCACGGTATAAAAGATCCATTATGTAGTAATAAAGACAGGGGACAACTCTGGCAGTTAATATCCAAAAGCAAACTGTTTTGTATTTAACTTGAAATTACTAAATATGTGTCAATGAATAGTCAAACTGAGTTTATTATTCATTTGGTTTACCTGAAGCCCACGTTTTTAAAAATCACATAAGCTGTGACCAACCTTTCCATTGTTACCTGCATTCTGGGATAGCTTTGTACGTCAGCACCAGATGCAAAATTCATGCCATTTTAATATTAATTATTTTAAAATGAACCTCCAATTGAGATTCTCTCAGTGTGAGAGATGTAAATAATAAGACTGTGTTAGTCTTTTGGTATTTTCTATCTTGGTTTAGATGGACAGATTTAGGTTTTCATAATTTAGATGCATACAAAGCTAGGATTGGATTTAATTTCTGTTGAACAGGTTTATTTAATGTTTAACATACATTAAACTGGGTTCTACTAAACTGTTATCATTAATGGCTAATTGTATTGGTGCAACTTCAGGGTCAATGTTAAATGAATACATCACACAAGACATTATGGATTATTGTATTTCAGGTTGACTCTGATGCACTTATTGATTCTGTCATACCTGGTCTGGCACTACAGGTGACTTCAAGTTTGTCTCTGCCACATACCGCCTCTTCAAGGTCCCTAAAGGCAACACCAAGGCCTGTCAGGTCATATATAATGGGGACATTACAGGAGCGGAGGACAGCTTCCAGTTTGATTGTCAGTACTCGTTCAAGGTCTGTAGAGCCCGCAGTACAAGAACAAGCTTGTTGTCCCCTTCTCATGCACTGTGTATGCAAATGATGTCAAATGTGGGTGTATTTCACAGGCCGGTGAAGTGGTGGAAGTTGATGGGGAGGTGGCCACCGTCCTGACCCATTCCAGATTTACGGAGGACTTCACTTTCCAGCCACCGGGAGCCCCCTGTGAGCCCTGTGGAGTCAAACCTAAGGTCAGTGTCAACTAAATTCCTGGATGTGTCAATGTCTTTGTCTGATTTGTCGTTGAGCACAAGAGGTTAGTATGTATGCGGTATCAGTTTCAAACGTGTGACACACCCAGAGAGCCCCGCTGTCTAACTGTGCGCACAGTCGCACATGCATGTGTGCACCAGGACGCATGCTGCAAGTTCTTACACACACACTTGCATACCCACTCAAACATACATACGCACACATCCACACGCACAAGGTCAAGCAGCTGTCTTGGAGTCATAACCAGACTGTGGAGTCATGCTGGGGAACCTTGAACAGGAAGGAATGTTCTCTTCTCAGCTAATGGAATACCATCTTATCAGCTCTCATGGTCATTCTGTGTTCATACACACATATCTACAAACACCACTATTTTTCAATAACTACCCTAATCCTTTCATCGCTCATTTTACACAGTGTATTCTGTTATTGAGGGATTTCCATTCTGTTTTTGAGCAGCAAAGAAGTAAATTTAAAATCTCAGTGATTTTTCAAAATGTGTCCCTTGGTTTAACCTTCGGACTGCTCCTCTGAAGTGAAATCAGGTTCCAGATACTCTACTCTAATCAACACTGCTAGCTGGTGATAATAGTAATAAAAAGCCTTTGGTGTTGTTCTTGATAGCACAGCTACTGTGAAATGCTGATTTAATGAACAACTAGTGTCTGGTAAAAGAGACACTGAGCCATACACCAGGGGTGAACATGCATTTCAAAGCTCAGCGTACAACAGCTTTTTGTTATTAGTGTTTACTGCTAGAAAATGAGAGAAAGTGAGAATTCACCTTTCAGACTTTGCTACATTCCTTACAGTTTTGTTTGTTGAAAAAACATTATTATGTAATACCAGAAGTAGGTTGTAAACTCCTAATGCTTTCTACCATGTTGAACTGTTGATACAGACAGGTGTTGTGGATCCTTTCGAGCTGGTGGCTCAGCTGGAGAAACAAAGTCCAGGTTCAGCCACAGGGGGATGCTGCAGCACACAGTCTGCTGCCTGCTGCAAATGATGGTGGGAAGAGCATTGAGAAAAACAAGCCCAGCATCATACTGTGTATGCCTAATAATAACAGTAGTTCAAATGTACTGACTTAATCATGCTTAATGCAATGTCATTATTTGTGTCTTATTGACATTTCAAATGAGATTTCAGCAACTGAAATGAATCCTACTTACTTACACATGAAAATGTGTCTTACTGATGTTCTGTGCACATTTATTTCAGTCAATCTCCTCCACTGGAAAAACAGAAAAGACTGAATTTAATTTGTTTAAATAATAATTTTGCATAAATAATTTTACTTTGGCTTTGTATCAAAGCAAAATCCAAATAAATAAATAAATACTTCTCATTAAATTCATGTTTTCCCATTTGTCTACAGTCTTAGACATCTGAATTTCATTTCCATGCCAGTCACATCTTAATTAAGACTTTTCCCACCTTTGCCTTAACAAATGACAGTCAGTCATCAGTTGTAATACCTCTAATTGTATTGATTTGTATACATTGTATGCAGCATAGTACCAGGTTAAGCATTATTTTAAGCTTTGCAACAGTATTTTAATTAATATAAGCAGTATTATGTTAATGTGTGTATTTCTGTTATAAGACAATAAATATTGCCAATCATTTGAATGTCCTATTTTCGTTTTTGCACATATCATATTTTGGATTATTTACACCCAGTGGTGCCCCCTGAGCTTTTTCACAAGGGGGTTGAAAATCTTGGGGTATGTTTAAAAAAAAAAAGGCATTGGGGTCTCGGAGTGTAACTCAGTGATGGATGGTCAGCAGCAGCTTGCTCGCAATGCATCTGTTATTTTCTTTCACATTAACTATTACGAAAAATATATCTTATTGATTTAAATACATTGTAGCTAATATACAATATCATATAGATACAATTATTCTTTGCTTGGACTTAACTCACTTCCACATTAAGGCCCTAGCCTGCAAGTCACAGCTAGTGCTTCATTTGAAGGGATCAAAAAGTTGAAGAAAACACTACAGTTGTGGATCACTGGGGGGGTTCAGTGCATCAACAAGCGCCCTTATATAAACAATGTAATGCATTGCAATACAAATAAATGAACCAACACCTCTGCCAGTCTCACTATAAATTTAACAAGATTTATGATATGATGATGTGTCTTTCTTTTTTTAAACAAATACATTTTAACCGTGTACATCTTGTCTCCTGTGGTAGGATATATGTTAAAAAAAAGTCACGAGTAGAGTCCTGTCTGTCTCTTAACATGAGGTGCACTTGTTTTGGAATTTGATTCGCCAAGGAAGCTGCGGAGGCCCCGCCCGCCGCTCAGCGCCGCCTCCTGATTGGTCGCCGCCGTCGCCTGTCTCGGGGACATCAGGGGAGGCACGAGTTGGCCCATAAGCCTGCGCTCGCGAGTCATCAGTGTCGGACACGTAGTGGGAACGAGCAGGTCCCGATGCACAAGTCACGGCAACCCTCGGTGGAGATGAAGGCGGACTCCGACTGGCTCTGATTTTTAAAAGCCCTTTTCATTCAGGAGGTTGGTTGCCAATGGTTATCAATATGGCAGAGCCGTTATCCCAAGCACCCACCGCTGCAAAAATGGCGTCACTTAACCGGGTCCGAGCTTTGGCGATGATTTTCTTAACTGTCACTGGCTGTTGTGTCACCCCGACAAGTGGCAAGGAAGGGTCCGAGGAGACCGTCATCATAGGGCTCCGACTGGAGGACACGGACGACATTTCCTTCATGGATAAGGGCTACCTGCGGGTGAGTGAGCGGTCTCGGGTGAAATTAAGGGTGTACGGGCAGAACATCAACAACGAGACCTGGTCCAAAATTGCTTTCACGGAACATGAGCGGAGCCGGACGGTAGGGAGCCTTGACAGCTCCTCGGGGGATAACCAGAGCCAGGAGGACTCGTCCGGCTTGCATCCCTGCGGTATTAGGACTTCGGATATAATTATATTGCCCAACATCATCCTGAATCGAAAGACGTCCGGAATAGTTGAAATCGAGGTCAAACCTCTGCGAAAGACGGAGAGGAGTAAATCGTATTACCTTTGCATCGCCACCACGACGCCGGCCGTGCCCGGGATGCACGACCCGTGGACGGAGAACACCTGGATCTACCACGATGGGGATGACACCAAAGTGATAGTGGTGGAGGAGAAAAAGTTTCTGCTGCCTTTCTGGCTCCAGGTCATCTTCATCTCCATGTTGCTCTGCCTGTCGGGCATGTTCAGCGGCTTGAACCTGGGGCTCATGGCTCTGGACCCCATGGAGCTCCAGATAGTCCAGAACTGCGGCACGGAGAAGGAAAAGAATTATGCCAAAAAAATAGAGCCGGTCAGGAGCCAAGGGAATTACTTGCTTTGCTCGCTTCTGCTCGGGAACGTGTTGGTGAACACCACGCTGACCATCCTGCTGGATGATATCGCCGGCTCGGGGTTGATCGCGGTGGTCATGTCCACCATTGGAATAGTCATTTTTGGAGAAATCGTGCCCCAAGCCATCTGCTCCAGACACGGCCTCGCTGTGGGCGCCAACACCATATTCCTCACCAAGTTCTTCATGCTGCTCACCTTCCCCGCTTCCTACCCGGTGAGCAAGCTGCTGGACTACCTTCTGGGCCAGGAGATCGGAACCGTGTACAACCGGGAGAAGCTTCTGGAGATGCTGCGCGTCACGGACCCCTACAACGACCTGGTGAAGGAGGAGCTGAACATCATCCAGGGCGCGCTGGAGCTCAGGACTAAGACCGTGGAGGACGTGATGACCCCCCTGAGAGATTGCTTCATGATCCCCGGGGATGCCACCCTCGACTTTAACACCATGTCCGAGATCATGAAGAGCGGCTACACGCGCATCCCGGTCTACGAGGGCGAGAGGTCCAACATAGTGGATCTGCTCTTTGTCAAGGACCTGGCGTTCGTGGACCCGGATGATTGCACACCGCTCAAAACCATCACAAAGTTTTACAGCCACCCGTTACATTTTGTGTTCAATGACACCAAGCTGGACGCAATGCTGGAGGAGTTTAAAAAAGGTGAGACAGCTAGATAACGTCCCCATATTTACTTATATTACCAGTGTTTTATTCCATAAAGAGCACTGCCACAGAGCGCCTTCATTTCCAGTTTCATCTCTCTCCACCCCCAGCTGAGAAAAGGTCACTGCACAAGCAGGTTGGCCTTTCACCTGCCCACCCTCCCCCCCTTGGGAGCGAAGGTGGGCAGGTGAGTTATGTGATAGTTTTCAGGTATCATGGGCTGCTGTGTGAGTGAATCCTCAATGTTTGGAACCTGATTTTCAGGAATAAAAGTGGTCTAGGAGAATTCTCGTCCCCCTTCAAGGTTTCCCAATAATGCTCCCAGATAGTTGAGGGGAAAGTAAAGGAAGAGGTGGTTGTGGTTGCTCTGGCGTTTCTTATCTTGCCTGCATCACAAAGCACTGAAGCAGCCACATCAGTAGTGAGGTGCACTTGCCACAGCCTCACTGGTCACTTCCTGCAACGAGGAGGAGGAGGAGGTGTCCTTATCTGTCTCCATCGCTTCCATTCACTGTTAATGTTCACACGGTTTCTCTCTCTCTCTCTCTCTCTCTCTCTCTCTCTCTCTCTCTCTCCCTCCCTCTTGCTTTCCTCCTCTTACCTTGCCCTCTCATTCAATCTGTCTCACTCTTTCCCCTCCCTCTCTCCCTCTCTCTCTGATTTCTGAATGCATTAGGACATGTGGGAATGGTGCAACGGCAGTGCTAAGGTTATCAGGTGGGGGCATCTTGTTTGAGAACCTGCTTAAATCCCTCTCTACCTCTCTTGTGCTTGCCTCTGAATGATGGTGGCGATAACTCCTTTTGTCCAGCCCTGGAATGCAGTCGTGTGGATAATGAATAACAGCTAACACCCTCGAGCCCCCCATGTGTTGTGTGTGTGTGTGTGTGTGTGTGTGTGTGTGTGTGTGTGTGTGTGTGTATGCGCATGGCGTTTGAGAAAGATGTTTACCTCACCCACGGTTTACCTGATGTTTTGCATAGCCCCCCCCCTTGTTGCCTCTGACTAAGTTATTCCTGGCACTGTTTGTAGATTTGGTACTAGTTCTTTAGGCCCAAATCCGCAGCAATAGGAGTGACCCAGTGGTACATGGGCACACCTGTCCAGCAGCTGATGTATCAATACTTCAACAAAAAAGGGTGATTAATGCATTGCGTGCTCATTAGAGTATTCACTTCCCTTTAAGAGGATTAATTGGTAGGAAACACAGAACAAATCATTGAGCTCCATTACCAGAAATTAGGTGTAGCTCTCCATGCCAAATTAGCATTACATAATATACTAGTTGGGGGCGGTTTGTTTGTTTTCATCCCAGTTGACTATTTACAGCCATGCACTAGCGGCAAAAAACATCAATTCCCCTGACCCGGTTGATCATTTTTCAGAGTTCCACAGTATATGAGCGTTACAGTACACCACTGTGCCATGCTCTGCCACATTATTAAATTAACATTGCTACTGAATATGACCCTCACAGTATCTCTCATCTCACTTATTACACCAGTCAGAGTGGACTGTGTACACCTGATAGCTTAGATGTTCTTTTCTTGACCTGTGAGTCTGTGCCTAAGTACTAAATATGAAAATAAAAAAAGATGAGAATGGATTTCAAGACCTCCAGCAACGAAAGTCAAAAGTCCCAGAATACAATATTCATATTGACTTCATTGGCACATCCACTGCAGTTTTAGCTCTCACACAGACTTTCAATAAGCTGATTCAGTGTCTGTCATTTGTTTTGACCAGAGAACACCTATTCTGACTCTAGTTTCATTTTTGAAAAAAAGTAATACTGCATTAAAATATCAGTATTGAAGTTTAACTTTATTATCCTTGAAGGAGCTGCCATGATGCATAGTTCGGTTGTCTAAATGAATAATGCTTATCTTACACTAAATCAATTATTAAACAGAGTGAAGCCAGCAGTGCAGTATGGAATGATATTTGAAAATAGCCTTACAGACTCTGTGGTAAAACATACATGAATACCACACAGCGATGTGATGAAGTTCATTCACAATATCAGTATTCTTTAGGGACACTCCTCAGTTTGCCTACAGGTTGTTGTTTTGGTTTGGTGTGCTCCTACTGCCCCGAGCCCCTCACCCCGAGCCCTAGTGCATCAGGTCCCATCACCTCTTGCTAGCTCTGTACCTGACATTGATATTTGTTTCAGTTGGCACAGGATGAAGTGAACTGTAATTTAGACACGTGTTACATGTCTAAACTAGAGTTAATGTTGTCATTCATCCACTTTAAATGTGGGGTGTGTCATGCAATCAAAGGGTTTAACTGTAGCATTCATTTCTACATGTTAGCAGTATACAGTATATTAATATCAAATATTTACTTCCGGTTGTCATCATATCAGTTTTATCCAAATCATTTAGCTCTAATAGTATTCTGACACTTGTTGAATAATAGCCTGAGTTATAAACCTGCATACAGTTCATATAAAACCTATACAGCAACACCGCTAACTATTTAAAATCAACAGCTTCTGTTGTTGTCTCAGGTGTGTCTGTTTACTCAAGTTAGTGGTATTTTGTGAATTCTATCACATTATGTCGCCAACATATCTCATCATATAGGTCCAGTTGTGGCAGTCGGCAGTTTGTGTGGCTGGCTGTGCGCCAGAGGGGATTCGCCTTTAGCCTCTCATGGAAGTCATAAGCAACTGTTGTAGGGAGGGCTGCGGGGTCACAGTTTCCCGTCAATCTGGCTCTGTTCGCAGCGCACACTCAGTTCAAAGTGCTTTGTATTGTAAGTCATTGTTAATTAATTTGATGCCGCTTGCGGAGCTGCATAGTCGTCTGAGGCCTGTTACTAAAACGAAAAATCCCACAACGCGCTCATATTACAGATTGTGTTGGAGCATTGAATATAAACTTTCTGGAAGGGTGGTTTCTCTCAGCAGTTGTGGATTTGAAGCCGATGCACACATAACGCACAAATTGTCACTGTAATGCTAATTTTTCTTACAATCTACTTAGAAATGACACAATTAATGCTCTGACAGAAACCTGCTGAAGAGTAGGAATGGAATAGGTAGTGCTTTAAAGGCTGAAATTGCTCAACATTTTCTTGCTAGTGGAAATAAAGTCCTCATCCCAACTGTGTGCACATGCTCATGTTTTACCCTCCTCGACCCAGGCTCCCTAGGTTAGGGGTTACAGTCAGATCCATGCGGGAGCTTTTTGATTCAGGCAGACACCCCTCTGGAAACTTCTGACCCCTTCATTAATTGCTCTCCGTCTGCGATTGCAACAATTACTGTCATCCAGGGGCTGCTTGTCAAGCTGCAGGTTTACCGGTTAATGAGTGTGCCATTTGGGAGCAAACCAAGTGGTTGAGTCAGAAACAGGAATTTAGCTGCCCTTCTGATTTTGAGTTATGTGTGATATTCCTGAAAATGAAAGTTATTCACTCACTCACTCACATGCAGTGTAACCAGCCTTGTAAGAGGAGGAAGGGATCTATTGTATGGATGTTTTGGAGAGCTCATTTCAGGTTATGCACATATATTCTTCTCCACCACACTGTGCTGCTTTTTGCCCCTGGGGAAGGCAGGCCACTTGCCTAACTTGAATATGGGTGTCCAGAGGGGGAACTGGGACTTGACCCAAGAGAGGCAAGGAAAACTTAATGTCTCCCTGTCTTGCTAATAATAGACACTCACTCTCACTTATGTGTGACGTAAAAAGACTTTCATATGTATACTTTTATGACAGGTGTATGAGACCCTGGTCACATTATTTCCCATAACATTCATTTTAAAGCTGCAGATTTTACTGCATCTTCCTTCCTCATCTGAAAGCCAATGTTATAATGGTAAATGGCTGCACACTGCCAGTTTTGTAATCTCATGTTCAGCCAGCGTTTCATAGCTCAGGGTATATGTGCTTCACAGTTTGAGAGTAAGGTCCCCAGTGTGACAGAGCCTACATGAGGCCTGGCACGTCTTGAACTAGTTCCCGATTGCTGCAATATAGGCCAATCTATGCTTAATTCAGATTCAACAGCCTTCACGGTCTCTTTGCTCAGTACTTTGTCTTAAAGTAAAACTCTTTTTTCTCCCACTCTGTCGGTCTTATTGAAATACTGACAGGAGTATTGTGGTTTGCTTCGAATGCTTTTATTGTTTCTGGGTGTTTGTGTGGAGCGTATCATAGCAGATGTCTAGAAAAAGTTTGTGTTTGCCTCGTAACCCTTGGTGTTAATGCTGCAACAAGTGTTGGGATTAAATGGCATCATGTTGGTAAGAACACTTAATGTTTCCTGATGAGGGACACCCCTTTGAACACAGTAAGACTTCTCCTGCCCGCCGCTCACTTCATCAGAACTAATTACCTCGAATCAAAAGTTGTCTGCATTGCACTATACGTGGTTGGGATATTTTCTTGTATGGAATGTGATTTTGATACAAAACTGTACTTTTTTAAAATCACATCAATTGTGTTTCATGCTCATTTTTTAAGTCACCTGTGCGGCCTTTTTGGACGTAAGCCTCGCTACATACACTAGTTAGTTTATGAAAAGTTTCGGTGATCATTTATTTCTCTATGATGAGCTCCTGTAGTGTTTTCATTTATGCACTAATGGGACACCTTTGGCAGCACTTTCAGAGAGAAGGCAAATGCTGCTGTTGTAGAAACCTGTTTAATGGTAACTTTCCCTCTATTGTACTCTTGACTCTCAATTTAAGGGTCCACAAGCTGTTTTGCATGTTTTAGCCCATTATTCTACAAATCTTTAATACTTCACTGCCAACAGTCTTTCAAAGCAGAGTTTTGCAGAGACTTGTAGGTGATCTATCACAGTTAAGAGTTCATTGTCTTGTCTACTTTTTGTCACAGTCATATGGCAATGTATTTTGCCCCTTGGCAGCAGTGGAACCAGCTGAAAACAACATGGGCATATTATCATCTTATAAGGCTGTTGTGGCAAACAATTTCTTCTTTACGCGTTCAGCGACATGGAGCAACATTAGAATTCAT